CTATAACATCGGTATGCAAAGAATGGATAAATAATTCAAAAATTGGAAAATATTTCTGTAAATTTGAAGATAATCATTATGTGCCAAATAACATGCTAGGACAGCATTATCCAGACGATGCCGCTGTCGTTCGCAGAATATTATTCAGTAGAAAGAGAAAATTATAAAATTAATACAATAGGAAAAGGCTTTTACACGAGCAAATATGGATGACAAAGTAAAATTACTGTATTTAAATATAAAATTTACAAAAAATTCGTGCAAGACGTTTCGTCACTTACTTGTGACTTCTCAATCGCAAAATTAAATACAATTACATATAATAACGGTCTATAAATTTCATCTTAAAGCTATAGTTGTCTTGTTAGCATTATAAAATATACTAATATGTTCATGTTCTTCGTATTAATTTAAATGCTCAGAAATAATTAATGTTCGATCTATGTTAACAATAGCGTACAATTAAACTTTTATACGGAATTTATTAGATATAATTAATATTAGTTAAATTGCAAACACTTACATATTTTTATTATTTGCCTCGATCTCCATTATAATGTGTTATTCTTTATCGACTTCTAGGCTGATTGTATATGCAGTATGTCTCTCATGAGTTTTATATATATTATTTAGAAATAGGTGAAATTTATTTATATTTCGTTTATTTTGTCTAAAATCGGGAAATATGTCTTGTCCAATAAAGCAATATTATCTATAAGATTCAAACTATTTTTTTGTTGTTTAATGTGTATTGTTTCTGATATTAACCTTTTGTAGTAATTGCTTTCACAATCTAAAATTCTAACGTCATTCCAATCCATATTATAATTCATGTCAATGATATGTCTAGAACGATGCTCAACGTCTATACGTATATACGAGCTTGATTATCACATTGTTTAGAAAATTATATTTTGAGCAGTGCAAAAAATGTGTAAAAAAAGACTTAGCAATAGAAGCTAAATTTCAATAACTGAATCAAACTTAGCTACAAGAGCTATCGCCTTAGTATCATGACTAAGTCCTGGCTATTATAGTTACAAAATATTTACTGTGATATGAAAACTTATTAGTTGAAATTGAAAGTGTATATTAACATAAATAGCTATATACATACATTACGGTGTATGCTTGATAGCTAAAACATTTAGCATGCTAAGGCTAAGTTTTTTTTATACGCGCGAACCTTTAACTGTCCATTAGCTTTTATTCGGATAGTGAAAATGGTTGTGATTGTGATTCTAATAAAATTATATTTATAGCAATATGATATTTTTATTTTAGTTAATAAACATATATTTCTATACTATGTACAGGATGATTCACTTTAATTGTTTTAGGCAAATATTTTAAAAAATATGGCAGATATAAATAAATATTTTAGACAAAAATTTAATGGCTTCTTGGGTAATTATGATTTTGGAGCTAGTATAATATGACTTCTGCAGCAAAATTGATAGTTAAAACAGCAAAAATTGCTTAGGATTTTTAGCAAAAATTATACAATTATAACTAAAAATCATAGCAGTCATAATGAAGATTAGTTAGTTCTAACCTTTTTTGTTATTTTACTTGATGGAATCATCACATAAAAAGGAACTTTGCAAAAACTTGGCAAAAATATATGTACGCGATTTTTGTAATGCTATGTTTTATTATATTGTCTTTGATTATATATATATATATATATATATAATATATATATATATATATATTATATATATATATATATATAAATATTTATTACAATTCTGATAATTTTCTCCTAAATAATAAATAAATTGCAGTTTTGCATTTTTAAATTCTTTACTCTAAGAAGCTCTTTACAAAATAGTAAAAATTAAGAATTAAAAAGGAGAATGTACTTACATAATAAACTAAATAAAACGCAAATATGTTTTATTAATGTTTCTTAATAATTCTTTATTAATTCCTCAATTTCACGTACATGCTACTTTGAGGAATATAGCTTTAGATGTTTATATATATATTACAATTGAGCATATAAAACAATAATGCTTTGTCGTTGAAGAATCTCAATGCATAGTTATATATAAAATCCGTCGTTTTTTATGGACTGGTCAAAAAAATTATCGCAACACGCAATTAATATCAAAATTTCGTGGAAATTCAAATAAGCGTATCTCCGCGAAAAATTATCGTATTTGAAAAAAATTATTTTTTGTTTCAAAAGGTGAAGTTTTTACTTTATATATAAAAAACTTTCGTTCGATTTTGATTTTATTCTCCCTTCCTCTTTTCACCCCTTTAAAAAGTAAGGTGCTTTTTTTTTCAAAAAATTGCAAAATTTGACGAACTCTACGGAGTGAAATAAATTTTTTTTGCAAATCTTATCCAAATTTTCGTAAAATATAAACTTTTTCCTACAAATTAAAAGAAAAAGCAAAGTTTGTACGATTTTTGTTGGCAGAGTTACGGCATATCAAAGTTATCTATGCATTTTTGTGAAATTATCACCAGCATTAGCGATACTCGACGCGCATCAACGATGATTGCGCGACAAATTGCTAATGAAGATTTCCCTCACAGAATCAGTGATCAATATCAAAATCAATAATATCATTATATCAAATCAATGCATAACAAAGCCGTAATTACTAATAATGTTAAGCCATAATAACACTAATCATTATTACTAATAATGGTAAACCGCGCGTGTAGCGATGTGCGTGAGCACACTATGCAAGGCACTATGCTTATGGCAAGACGCTATTCTTTTGCGCGCGCCTTTGACATGCCTTTTTCTATCGTTAATTATAAAAATTATTATGCATTATAGAAAAAAATGGCTCAGGACTTTTTGACTCAGTTTTCCATGAGGAATATCGCTATGTACTCCGTGGGCGCGAATTACCGGACATCCTGTATATATATATATATATATATATATATATATATATATGTATGTAATATGTATATAATAATAAATATATATTTTTAAATGCATATCTCTATATATCACTGGTGATGTAACTTCACTCCAATTAGTACAATCGGAATATACATAAAATTTCTATTTAAAGTATGATAAGTAAGAATAAGAAAACCAAATCTCTAAAACATTTATCGTAATACAGCATAATCTTTTTGTAAAAATATCAGAGGTATTAATATATATGTATGTTTGTACGACATAAGCGAAATGTCGTAAATATTACAGAATCAATATACCATTTCTGTTTGTAATATATTTATGCAATTTTTGTAATATTTAAAAAGAAATGACTGAATACTGAACTGAATATTTAAAAAGAAATAAATGACTCAACTGAAAGAAATGCCAATAAATTTCTATTATGTATTTACATAATTTGTATTCTTGCATTTCTATATCACATATTTATAATTTTAATTTACCAAATTTCTACTATGCACAATTTCAATTATTTTTATAATGAAAATACGGCGAATCAAAATTATGTGCATACTTATACTTTCTTGCAATTGATTTTTTCTAATAAGATGATTAACATTAAATTTTATAAAATTAATTAAATTATTATTAATTGAATAATTTGTAACAAATTGATCTGTAAAATGGTTATTAAGTTATCCTTACAATAATGACATTTATTTTTATACGATGGGCGTTATTTAAATTATTCTTAAATTGAGAATAGAACATATCTATTTTATAGTTGTGAAGAAAATAATTCCTACATACAAATAATATATAAAAAAAAACGACGGATTATATATATAACTATGCATTGAGATTTTTCGACGAAAAAACATTATTTTTTTATATACTCAATTGTAATATCAATTGTATAAACATTTAAAGCTCTATTCCTCAAAGTTGCATGTTCGTTAAATTGAGAAATTACTAATAAATATTAATAAAACATATTTGCACTTCATTTTAGTTTATTTTGTAAGTACATTCTCATTTTAATTTTCAATTTTTGCTATTTTGTAAAAAGCTTCTTAGAGTAGAAAATTAAAAATGCAAAACTGCAATTTATTTATTATTTAGAAGTTTTCACAACTATTTTTGTGGACTCTACCCTGGGATTTTGGCCTACCTTTTGTGTTAGTAAAGAAAAAAATTTATTTTATTTGTACAATTTTCAGGTCTCGTTCTATTGTTTGCATTACACTATAGACTATGAATTATCTACGACATAAAATAATAGCAATTTTTGCCTGCTGCGTATGCTAAGTTATTTCTATTACAACTTCATTGATTTTTTTTCTCAATATTATTTTAAAATTGTTTCTATATTCTGCAAAAAAATTTAAATATATTTCTATCAAAACCGACGCTTTATTATTTCTAAGGAAGAGATAAACAGCTTATCTTATATATAATTTATTATGTTATTTATATAAAAACTAGTGTTGAGATGCATATTCATTACAAGATTACATCATAGTTATTTTTTATACTGTTCTCTTCAATTTACTCTAACTTCTAGTTTTAAAATTTAACAATTATGACAACAGAATTCTAATTCTCAATTGTCGTTTATCTTTTGAATTCTACTTTGTCAAATAACTTGTAATTGAAAAAAAATGCAGTAATGTAGCCATCACCAAATATCAAAGTACTTATTGACTGATGAAAGCATTAGAAAATTCTTGTCAACTCTTTATTAAAAAAACCATAATAATATTATATGAGTTTAATCCTTACATAAATTGTCGTTATTCTTATAAAAAAAAAAATTAATTGTGACATATAAAGTCATCAAAACTTATTAAAAAAATCATTGAATCATCTTACAATTAGTGACACTCTATCACTTGCATCGAAGATATTTATCACATATATTACGATATTAATCGATCGAATGAATAATACATAAATATGTGTGTGTGTGTGTGTGTGTGTGTGTGTGTGTGTGTGTGTGTGTGTGTGTGTGTGCATGATTATAAACAATTTTAATATTACTAATACACATTTTTTTGTTAGCTTAAATAATTTGACGTATAATCAATTTTTGATCCGAACTTTTTGTCAGATAATAAATCTCCCTACATGAACTTCTTATGCGCGCTATTTTAGAAGGATATTCTCTCTTTTGCAAGATATTTACGATGATTTGTTATTGTTTTCCGTAAAATCTATATACATTATATCTTTTGAATTTCAATCCGAACTAAAAAAGAGCAGACACACATTTCTGCACCACTCAAAATATTATAATTTTCGATTACGCAATAATATGTCGCGAACGACTGCGGCATCGTCTGGATAATCCTGTTCTAGCATGTTATTTGGCACATAATGTGTATCTTCAAATTTACAGAAATATTTTCCAGTTTCTGAATTATTTATCCATTCTTTGCATACCGATGTTATAGCACCTAAAATAAAAACGTAAAAATAAAAAATATAGTATCAAATGTATTATGCCATGTAACATAAACAATATGAACAAAAATATCACAGAATATACAGTATATAAAGTATAATGAAGTATTACATATAATACACATACATTGTGGAACGTAACACAGATCATTCTCGATTAACAAAACGTAGTGCGGTTGCGATTTCCAATTATCAATGTTATTTTTCGGTATACATTCCCTTTCAATATCATTCAGAATACAATATGTTTCCTTATGTACAAAGCGTTCAATGTGGCATTCGTTGTGCCACCCAATAATGACTCCAGCAACATCTTTTTGTGTATTATCTTCCATTTTATGCTTGTGTGTAACTATCAATCCAATCGCATATTTTAGATTAGGCGATCTTTTTTTCCGAAACGTTTCATCTGGAGTACATATTTCCTGAAAAATTAGTATAGTTGACGCTTTTATATATATTATGTAATTTATATTAACGTAATAATTTAAATTAAAAATAATTATAATTATAATTAGATTTTTACACGTATATAATTATTATATATGTTACTTTGTTACATATCTTTAATTTTTAATATGTACAATAAGTGAATTCAATTGTCTTACCTCATTATATAAATCTATTGATGTTACTCCATAATTGATATTGTCAAAGGAAAAGCGGCCATATTTCCACAAATCATATATATCACGAATGGTTCTTTCAACCGATATTGACGGCTTTAAAAAAAAATTGTTATTAAATTTTGAATCAAAGTCACTTATTATATATGTAATGATTAAATTCAAATTATAAATGTGTGTAAAAAAAAATACATTTAAATATATTTTCGAAACTATATAATCTAAAACTAATGTTATATATTATATGCTCTTTTTAATTTATTAGAATTAAGCTTATTGATTTCAATGTTCTTAAAATATTTTACAGAGAAAACATTGCTGATTATGTCTTTTATATCAAACATCGCTGCATTAAACGTCCGTCCAGTTATAAACATCAGAAAGCAAAAGTGTAAAACTACCAATATTTTATATAAATAATTACTTACGATACGTGTTTCTCTGTATTCATCTTGAGGCGACACTCGTTGGCATTTTCTTATGTTAGAAATCTTTGCATTATCTGAATTATCTGTCCATTCAAACGTGAAACATTCTGTATTTTCTGTACAATTTCTGTATAAACAATAAAGAAATAACATGTTCATGTACATCAGTGCGTAATGTAGATGTTTAAAAATAATATTCATTCAATGATAAATTGTTTAGAAAAATGCTATATCACTATGTATAATTAAATATTATATTAATATTATATTTTATTTAATATTTTTTGGAATAGTTTATTTGTATAATTTAAGATGCATAACAAAAATAATTATGACTTTTAAAGATATTTATGAGTTTTAACTTTATTTAATTTAATTTAAAATTTTATAAATAAGATTGTCCAATTCTCTTGTCGACTTCTTAATTTTAAATCATTCTGCACGTAAAAATATGTATTAAATAAAACATATCAATGAAAAAAATAATCCACGAAATATATCGGATGTCTGGTAATACGCGTTTCACACGTTAATGGGAGATTTCTGAGGCAATATGGAGATGATTTTTTCTCGGCGAAAATGTCGAAAAAACTCATAATTTTTTTAATATTTCCAATTTTTGAGATTATGTATCTTTGTAACTAAGCCTTACATTAAAATTCTATTAAAGTCAACTTTATCTAAAATTAACTAAAAAATGTAGTTTTGTTGACAATTTATTTTTACAAAACTTAGTTTACAAAAAAGATCGTATTTTCAATCGTTTATAACTCGAAACTTATTGGTGCCTAAACATTTCACTGAAAAACAATCGTCTCCAAATCACCTCAAAAATCTTCCATTAATGTGTGAAACATGAATCACCGGAGACCCTGTATATAAACTTACATTAGTATATAGTATAAAATTGTTGTTTTAGAAAAAAGCTATATTTTACTATGTATAATTAAATATTATATTAATATTATATTTTGTTATCTATTTTTTAGAATAGTTTAATTGCATAACTTAAGGTACATAACAAAAATAATTATAACTTTTAAAGATATTTATAAGTTTTAACTTTATGCAAAAACGAAGATTTTTCAATAATATTATATTTTAAACATTGACTTATATTATAATGCAACAAATATAATATTTGAGAGAGAAACCATGAACAAACATATTTTTAATTGTGTCACAAACAACCACAATATATTAATATTTAGAAAATATCGTTAATATTATTAAATTTAAACTTGTATATTATAAATAAAAAATAATATACAGTGAATTATATATAGGCCTTTTGATGAGTGTAAAATAGCTATTAATATAAACAACTTTAATTATTTAAAAAAATTACAATCTTTAAATAGAGAACGTTTCAACATTCACTGTTGTCTCTTCAGCCGCTATCATATGAAAATTAGATTACAAACAGAAAGAAATAAATAGTCAAAAATTTTTTTCGAAATGACGCTAAGGTTTGTTACAAACACTTATTTTTATGCTATGTGAATATCTGTACGTTGTGATTGTTTGTGACATATTTAATAAATATATATATAATTGTCTGCAGTACTACTCAACTGTTTAATTTGTTGCAATATTACACAAGTCAGCACCCCTAAATTATTTTTAAGCTGTAAAATATAATAATTAATTAATATGTATAATAATAAAGTACTATATACACATGTGAGTATTGCTGTATAACTATTTGTGCGTATAGTACGAATACTCGACAAAATAAATAAAAATAATTTCAAAGATAAAATTATATATACCTGGATTGCCAAAGCAAATGTGTATGTCTAGTATAATTATCGTCTATATCGTGTTTTGTTGTTATAACATGTAAACCCAATTTATTTGCAACGCAGATATATATTGCCAACCACAACGTTTGTTTATAATATAATGTGTCTTCTTTAGTCTGTCAAAGAATAATAAGCGTGAAAATATAGTAAAAAGAATTACAATAGAGAATTAATATTATATTTATGATACATTAAAAAATTATATATATATATATATATATATATATATATATATTCATGATAGATAAAAAAAACATACATGTAAAACTTCAAATACCGAGAACTTATAAATAGGTAACCTATTTATTTGGTTCGGTTCCATCCATGATTTATAAGAGTCAAAACTTATGATAATTTTGTCGAGTACATCCTTAATCGACATGGCGTCTTTTTCGCACCAAAAATTCTTATTAATATGATTATTTCTCCAAATGGATAATTGTTCAGGTGGCATGGACAATATTGGATGCTGGAGATATTCATCTTTCAACAACTTTAATACTTCTTGCACGATATTGTCTATGAATTTATCTATATACAACATAGTAATACCCGTATTGGGATGACAATATTGTAATATTAGAACAATTAAATCTTCCAAACGCTCCATATGATTGTATTTTTCTACAATTTTTTTTTTATGTAAAAAATGAATATCTTCATACAGATATCGAAATATTCTTATGCTGTAGTATGTTTCTGTTAAATTGCATTGGCTGAAAAATGTACATATTGTAAAATTAGTACAGGATAATTAATTAAACATATCTATAATTTTTGATGATGTTATAAAATAAATTTAGTCACACACATACCGTGGATTTTGTTGATATATGTTTCTAGTAAGTTCATCACTTAAAATCAACAAATTTAGAGGGTGCTTTTCTGCATGCATATAGAAAGATTTTTTAATATCTTCTTCGAGTAATCTATGATAATAATTCAAGTGAGACATACGAGGCAGATCAAGCCAAAAGTTTTCCGCACATTTCATACTCTCTTTAAAATCTTCAATATTTAAGTCATTAAATTCAATGCCCATTGTGTCTTTACAAAATATCTGTGCAGTAGGCCATCTAAAATTTAAAACACAAAATACTTTTCAAAAATTTCAAAATTTATACTAATAAAGTTAAACTCATCATTTCATATTATTTATTCAAATCAAATAGAAGAAACTGATGATGCACAATGATTCTTAGATTTCGGGAATTCTAAAATGTAAAAAACACAAAACGTTTGCGCAAAATATTATTTTAAATTACATATATATTTACGCATACTATACATTTTTGATTTGTTTTATACAATGTTTTATTCCGACAAACTGATATTTTATGTTTAATGGCGATGTTGTAATAAAATGTTAAATAATAAGAAAATTGATTTTCTATTTTATTACTGCATCATAGCGCAATGAAATATGTACACAGATATATATATATATATATATATATATATATATATACATATATATATATTTGTGTAATATATATCAATTATTATATTATATTTATATATGATTATATTATATATATAAATTTTATATTTATATATACATTACAAATGTTAGGTAACCGGTAATTTACATAATTGTTGTTTATATTGTATTAAAGTGTCAGTGAGTTCTCTCCAAAAATATTATAAAGTCGATTATTGAGCTGTAATATTTGTTTAGTAGTAATTAAGTAAATACATTTGAAATTCGCCCTTTTAATAATTAATTCTTACATTCTCAAATCTGCTCTAGCATACAGATTATTCATTCCGAATTGAGTGTTTCTTTATTTTTAGGAGAAAGTATCCCATTAGCGTTTTAAATCATTCTTCTATATTTTATACCCATTGAACAAGTGTTCCATTCGTCGATTATTATTATATACTTTTCACGTGTACTAAAACTAGTCGACGATCTATAAAAAAAATTTCTTTAAATTCTTTAAATTCCGTGAACTATTTTTAGCATACAATTAACCAATCTAACAGTTATTAATAAAATACCTAAATGTAACAAAAGCATTTAAAAAGAACTCTCGCGCTCCGGATTAGAGCGAAAGCAGAAAAAACTTTAGCACACACAAGAGTAAGGATTTTCCTGTCGCGTCGCGCGGGTTTATTGTATAGCCAGAGAAAGCACAAAGCACTAGCGAGAAACTTTTTCGCATGTGCAATCCTTCGAGTATGGGTATATATACATATCTCTCTGGAACCATTATTGATAGCTCGAGATTTTTTAAATACATGTGTTTATTCATTGATTACTGTACAATTCGTTACGTGTACGCTAAAAATAGCTTACGATATTTGAAGAATTCAAGAAATGTATTTTTTATTAATCGTAAGTTATTTTTATCGTACACGTGACAAATCGAAGAAATGAGAACACTTCATTTCGATGGGTACAGATGTATAATTTGAAGCGCTACTAGAAAACTTTCGCATCCCATACAGCATACAAATTTGCAGCAATATTGCAACAACATTGCAATATTGTACTTTGCATAGCGATATTGCAGAAATATTATACATGCATGAATTTGCAATATAGTTTAAACAACGTTGCAGCAAGATTTCAGAAAGATTATAAAAATAAAATTCACGCAAAAAATTTCAAATTATTCTTATATACCAAAAAATTATTTCTTAAAAAATTGTTTTTATAAAAGTTACGATATTTCATAAATTTTTAAAGCTAAACAAATTTTCTACTTTATAAATTTCAGCAATAATTTTTTTTAATTTGCAGAATTTTATTTAGAAAGTTTAATCAAGTTATGTTTTAAAACGACACAATATCTGCAAAAATTTTTCGAATTTAAAAAGGCTAAATATAAATAAATTTTAAAATATCTTATATATATATATAAATTCATTTAGATATATTTTAAATGTCAGAATATTATTATAAATTTTTCAAAAAGGCAATATGTTGCGTAAAGTTATTTAAATATATTTTTCGCCAAGTTTTGCAAAGTTCTTTTTTATATGATGTGTCCATCAAGTAAAATAACAAACAAGTTCATACATAAAGAAACTTACTTCTGAGCATATTTTTTCTTCCAGAGAGTTTTATAATGGGACATCCACTCAAATCTCTTGCACGTGGAACTAAAATTCTCAACGTCCCTCAAGCTAATAGTTTCGTTTTCCAGAATACTTAATATAATTTCGTTAGATAAATCCTCTATCGTGATCATTATATAATAATATAAAAATAACTTGCAGCTTTTATCTTAACGAATCGAATGATATTCTATGCATCAACTCCGCTTTGTAGAAAGCACGTGGTTTACTGCATCGTGGACAGCTATAGACTGGAAATGATCAAAATGCTTTGAGAGACGGGTTGGGGGGAACAAAGAAAAAAATCCTAGCAAATACAAAGTAACTACTGTAAACTATTCGTAATAGTTTCACTTTTATTGCAATCTTTATCTTTCACCTTTAAAGAAAGTGTCCTTTTGTCAGATCTCGCCAATGGAACAAGAACAGTAAAAATATGATTTTTAGTATACAATTATTATGAATGGTAGTAATTTAATCAACCAACTCTGGCTATTTAATAATCTTTATCTAATATTCACGACGTTTCGGCCATGGGTTTCGGCCCTTATCAAGTGCTACAAATTATAATAATGACAATTATTAGAAAATTAAAAAATTAATTAAAAAGTAACTGAGTAACAATAAATATTTGCACACATTAATATGTATCTTACCTAAAACACAACTTTCTATATAGAAACTTAATTTCTGATCTTAAAATGTGACATGATATAATGTAAAACAATTAACTATATTATTGTGTTGGTTTCAAGCTCTTTATATACTCATTACTTCGATCAAACTAAACGACCTTTATTAGTTTATCGTAAACAATATTTAGATTATCCGTGTCTTTTTGTAAATTGATTGTGTTGTCAAATTTTTTGATAAAAAACATCTCCGCGATTTCTCTTTTTCGTACATATTTCTCATGATGTAAAATTTCAGGAGCGGACCAATCAAAATCATGACCATTATCGAATTTATGATTACTAATGACTGAATAATTACTATTGCGTACCTTAATGTTATTAAAATGTTCTTTTATGCGTGTGCCTAATTGTCGTTTAGTCTGACCGACGTATGATGAGGAACAATTTGCGCAGTTAATTTTGTATACAACTCCTGTTTTTTCTTTTAAAGGCAAAGGATCTTTGACACGTTTGATTAGTGTATTCAATTTTTTCGGTATACAATAAACACATTGCATGCCCGTAGATTGCAATAATCTCGAAACGTCTTCACTTAGTTCTTTGACGTACGGTAATTTTATGATGCTGTCAAATTTTTCACTGACTAAATTATCATTGTCAACATTGCGATCGTCGTTTTTTCGTGTCTCAAGTAATTTTAGCCTATTTTTTACAAACTTATTAACCTGTAACCAACGGGAACTTACCACGATGTTACGGGTTACCGAAAATCCACAAAATCGATTGTCCATTGCGAATTATAGTGTCTTCATTATGTAGTCCGTTGTATAATCTTTCTAACTACATCCATAATATACTTGTTAATTCGATTAAGAAACCGGGATCTTTTGTTAAGGATGGTTGGTCCTTTGTCGAGAGTATTAGGAATAAGGTAAAAAAAAAATTCTTGTCAACTCTTTATTAAAAAACCCTAATAATATTATATGAGTTTAATCCTTACATAAATTGTCGTTATTCTTATAAAAAGAAAAATTAATTGTGACATGAAAAGTCATCAAAACTTATTAAAAAAATCATTGAGTCATCTTACAATTAGTGACACTCTATCACTTGCATCGAGGATATTTATCACATATATTACGATATTAATCGATCGAATGAATAATATATAAATATGTGTGTGTGTGTTTGTGTGCATAATTATATAAAATTTTAATATTACTAATACACATTTTTTCGTTAGCGTAAATAATTTAACGTATTATAATTTTTAATTCGAACTTTTTGTCGGGTAATAAATCTCTCTACATGAACTTCTTATGCGCGCTATTTTAGAAGGATTTTCTCTCTCTTGCGAGATATTTACGATGATTTGTTATTGTTTTCCGAAAAATCTATATACAATGTATCTTATAAATTTCAATTCAAACCAAAAAAGAGCAGACACACAAACTTCTGCACCATTCACAATATTATAATTTGAAATTATTCAATAATATGTCGCGCACGACTGCGGCATCGTCTGGATAATCCTGTTCTAGCATGTTATTTGGCACATAATGTGTATCTTCAAATTTACAGAAATATTTCCCAGTTTCTGAATTATTTATCCATTCTTTGCATATCGATGTTATACCACCTAAAATAAAAACGTAAAAATAAAAAATATAGTATCAAATGTATTATGCCATGTAACATAAACAATATGAACAAAAATATCACAGAATATACAGTATATAAAGTATAATGAAGTATTACATATAATACACATACATTGTGGAACGTAACACAGATCATTCTCGATTAACAAAACGTAGTGCGGTTGCGATTTCCAATTATCAATGTTATTTTTCGGTATACATTCCCTTTCAATATCATTAAGAATACAATATGTTTTCTTATGTACAAAGCGTTCAATGTGGCATTCGTTGTGCCACCCAATAATGACTCCAGCAACATCTTTTCGTGTATTATCTTCCATTTTATGCTTGTGTGTAACTATCAATCCAATCGCATATTTTAGATTAGACGATCTTTTTTTCTGAAACGTTTCATCTGGAGTACATATTTCCTGAAAAATTAGTATAGTTGACGCTTTTATATATATTATGTAATTTATATTAACGTAATAATTTAAATTAAAAATAATTATAATTAGATTTTTACACGTATATAATTATTATATATGTTACTTTGTTACATATCTTTAATTTTTAATATGTACAATAAGTGAATTCAATTGTCTTACCTCATTATATAAATCTATTGATGTTACTCTATAATTGATATTGTCAAAGGAAAAGCGGCCATATTTCCACAAATCATATATATCACGAATGGTTCTTCCAACCGATATTGACGGCTTTAAAAAAAAATTGTTATTAAATTTTGAATCAAAGTCACTTATGATATATGTAATGATTAAATTCAAATTATAAATGTGCGTAAAAAAAAATACATTTAAATATATTTTCGAAACTATATAATCTAAAACTAATGTTATATATTATATGCTCTTTTTAATTTATTAGAATTAAGCTTATTGATTTCAATGTTCTTAAAATATTTTACAGAGAAAACATTGCTAATTATGTCTTTTATATCAAACATCGCTGCATTAAACGTCCGTCCAGTTATAAACATGTTATATCCCCCAAAGATATAGATATAACTATTAAAAGGTAACTAGTATTAAGAAATGGGTACTCGTATTACATCCGCAATTACGACAGACACTGACCGCGTTAAAAAACGCATACGATGCGAGGTATACGCGAAATCAGAATTACGACAGATAATGACCGCGTTAAAAACGCATAGAATGCGAGATACACGCGGAACAGAAATTGGTCAACGTGCAAGCAAAGCAGAAGGACTTTGAATCTGCTTCGCTTGCACCTAGATTCTCGACCGGGGAAACCTGTTGCCAGGCACCCCTTCCGATTGGGAAAACTCCAAAAAACAACGATATAAAAAGAGAGTAGAGACGCGACAACTCGCTCAGTCGCAGACACAAACAATCGCTCTAACCACGATCTCGCTAACCGCGCTCGCACTTACAATTAGCATCGACTCGCAGTTGTGCGCGATACGCGGAGTGACAGAAAGTCAGTGCCGCACACCCGGTAAAGCTTCAGTGTATTATTAGTGAAATAAATAAAGGCCAAGTGGTTGAAGTTGAATAAAGAATTTTAATAAGAAAAGTGCAGTGCATTTTCTACAAACACCCGACAAGTCCTGACGCCCCGGATTCCCATCCCAATTTGGCGCGACCCCCTGGTGTCTCTCTCGAGGCACACAACAAACATCAGAAAGCGAAAGTGTAAAACTACCAATATTTTATATAAATAATTACTTACGATACGTATTTCTCTGTATTCATCTTGAGGCGGCACTTGTTGGCATTTTCTTATGTTAGAAATCTTTGCATTATCTGAATTATCTGTCCATTCAAACGTGAAACATTCTGTATTTTCTGTACAATTTCTGTATAAATAATAAAGAAATAACATGTTCATGTACATCAGTGCGTAATGTAGATGTTTAAAAATAAAATTCATTCAATGATAAATTTTTTAGAAAAATGCTATATCACTATGTATAATTAAATATTATATTAATATTATATTTTATTTACTATTTTTTGGAATAGTTTATTTGTATAATTTAAGATGCATAACAAAAATAAATATGACTTTTAAAGATATTTATGAGTTTTAACTTTATTTAATTTAATTTAAAATTTTATAAATAAGATTGTCCAATTCTCTTGTCGACTTCTTAATTTTAAATCATTCTGCACGTAAAAGTATGTATTAAATAAAACATATCAATGAAAAAAATAATCCACGAAATATATCGGATGTCTGGTGACTCGCGTTTCACACGTTAATGGAAGATTTCTGAGGCAATATGGAGACGATTTTTTCTCGGCGAAAATGTTGAGAAAACTCATAATTTTTTTAATATTTCCTATTTTTGAGATTATGTATCTTTGTAACTAAGCCTTACATTAAAATTCTATTAAAGTCAACTTTATCTAAAATTAACTAAAAAATGTAGTTTTGTTGACAATTTATTTTTACAAAACTTAGTTTACAAAAAAGATCGTATTTTCAATCGTTTATAACTCGAAACTTATTGGTGCTTAAACATTTCACTGAAAAAAATTCGTCTCCAAATCACCTCAAAAATCTTCCATTAATGTGTGAAACATGAATCACCGGAGACCCTGTATATAAACTTACATTAGTATATAGTATAAAATTGTTGTTTTAGAAAAAAGCTATATTTTACTATGTATAATTAAATATTATATTAATATTATATTATGTTATCTATTTTTTAGAATAGTTTAATTGCATAACTTAAGGTACATAACAAAAATAATTATAATTTTTAAAGATATTTATAAGTTTTAACTTTATGCAAAAACGAAGATTTTCAATAATATTATATTTTAAACATTGACTTATATTATAATGCAACAAATATAATATTTGAGAGAGAAACCATGGACAAACATATTTTTAATTGTGTCACAAACAACCACAATATATTAATATTTAGAAAATATCGTTAATATATTATTAAATTTTAACTTGTATATTATAAATAAAAATAATATACAGTGAATTATATATAGGCCTTTTGATGAGTGTGAAATAGCTGTTAATATAAACAACTTTAATTATTTAAGAAAATTACAATCTTTAAATAGAGAACGTTTCAACATTCACTGTTGTCTCTTCAGCCGCTATCATATGAAAATTAGATTACAAACAGAAAGAAATAAATAGTCAAAAATTTTTTTTGAAATGACGCTAAGGTTTGTCACAAACACTTATTTTTATGCTATGTGAATATCTGTACGTTGTGATTGTTTGTGACATATTTAATAAATATATATATAATTGTCTGCAGTTCTACTCAACTGTTTAATTTGTTGCAATATTACACAAGTCAGCACCCTTAAATTATTTTTAAACTGTAAAATATAATAATTAATTAATATGTATAATGATAAAGTACTATATACACATGTGAGTATTGCTGTATAACTATTTGTGCGTATAGTACGAATACTCGACAAAATAAATAAAAATAATTTCAAAGATAAAATTATATATACCTGGATTGCCAAAGCAAATGTGTATGTTGATTATAATTATCGTCTATACCGTGTTTTGTTGTTATAACATGTAAACCCAATCTATTTGCAACGCAGATATATATTGCCAACCACAACGTTTGTTTATAATATAATGTGTCTTCTTTAGTCTGTCAAAGAATAATAAGTGTGAAAATATAATAAAAAAAATACAATAGAAAATTAATATTATATTTATGATAGATTAAAAATTATATATATATATATATATATATATATATATATAATTTATGATAGATAAAAAAAAACATACATGTAAAACTTCAAATACCGAGAACTTATAAATAGGTAACCTATTTATTTGGTTCGGTTCCATCCATGATTTATAAGAATCAAAACTTATGATAATTTTGTCGAGTACATATTTTATTGATTTTGCATCTTTTTCGCACCAAAATTCTTATTAATATGATTATTTCTCCAAATGGATAATTGTTCAAATGGCATGGACAATATTGGATGCTGGAGATATTCATCTTTCAACAACTTTAATACTTCTTGCACGATATTGTCTATGAATTGATCTATATACAACATAGTAATACCCTTATTGGGATGACAATATTGTAATATTAGAACAATTAAATCCTCCAAACGCTGCATATGATTGTATTTTTCTAAAATTTTTTTTTTATGTAATAAATGAATATCTTCATACAGATATCGAAATATTCTTATGCTGTAGTATGTTTCTGTTAAATTGCATTGGCTGAAAAATGTACATATTGTAAAATTAGTACAGGATAATTAATTAAACATACCAATGATTTTTGATGATGTTTTAAAATAAATTTAGTCACACACATACCGTGGATTTTGTTGATATATGTTTCTAGTAAGTTCATCACTTAAAATCAACAAATTTAGAGGATGCTTTTCTGCATGCATATAGAAAGATTTTTTAATATCTTCTTTGACTAATCTATGATCATAATACAACTGAGACATACGAGGCAGATCAAGCCAAAAGTTTTCCGCACATTTCATACTCTCTTTAAAATCTTCAATATTTAAGTCATTAAATTCAATGCCCATTGTGTCTTTACAAAATATCTGCGCAGTAGGCCATCTAAAATTTAAAACACAAAATACTTTTCAAAAATTTCAAAATTTATACTAATAAAGTTAAACTCATCATTTCATATTATATATTCAAATCAAATAGAAGAAACTAATGATGCACAATGATTCTTAGATTTCGGGAATTCTAAAATGTAAAAACACAAAACGTTTGCGCAAAATATTATTTTAAATTACATATATATTTACGCATACTATACATTTTTGATTTGTTTTATACAGTGTTTTATTCCGACAAACTGATATTTTATGTTTAATGACGATGTTGTAATGAAATGTTAAATAATAAGAAAACTGATTTTCTATTTTATTACTGCATCATAGCGCAATGAAATATGTACACAGATATATATATATATATATATATATATATATATATCTGTGTAATATATATCAATTATTATATTATATTTATATATGATTATATTATATATATAAATTTTATATTTATATATACATTACAAATGTTAGGTAACCGGTAATTTTCATAATTGTTGTTTATATTGTATTAAAGTGTCAGTGAGTTCTCTCCAAAAATATTATAAAATCGATTATTGAGCTGTAATATTTATTTAGTAGTAATTAAGTAAATACATTTGAAATTCGCCCTTTTAATAATTAATTCTTACATTCTCAAATCTGCTCTAGCATACAGATTATTCATTCCGAATTGAGTGTTTCTTTATTTTTAGGAGAAAGTATCCCATTAGCGTTTTGAATCATTCTTCTATATTTTATACCCATTGAACAAGTGTTCCATTCGTCGATTATTATTATATACTTGTCACGTGTACTAAAACTAGTCGACGATCTATAAAAAAAATTTCTTCAAATTCTTTAAATACCGTAAACTATTTTTAGCATACAAGTAACCAATTTAACAGTTATTAATGGAATACGAAAATGTAACAAAAGCATTCAAAAAGAACTCTCGCGCTACGGATTAGAGCGAGAGCAGAAAAAACTTTAGAACACAAGAGTAAGGATTTTCCTGTCGCGTCGCGCAAGCTTATTGTATAGCCAGAGAAAGCACAAAGCACTAGTGAGAAACTTTTTCGCATGTGCAATCCTTCGAGAATGGGTATATATACATATCTCTCTGGAACCATTATTGATATAGCTCGAGATTTTTTAAATACATGTGTTCATTCATTGATTACTGTACGATTCGTTACGTGTACGCTAAAAATAGCTTACAATATTTAAAGAATTCAAGAAATGTATTTTTTATTAATCGTAAGTTATTTTTATCGTACACGTGACAAATCGAAAAAATGAGAACACTTCATTTCGATGGGTACAGATGTATAATTTGAAGCGCTACTAGAAAACTTTCGCATCCCATACAGCATACAAATTTGCAGCAATATTGCAACAACATTGCAATATTGTACTTTGCATAGCAATATTGCAGAAATATTATACATGCATGAATTTGCAATATAGTTTAAACAACGTTGCAGCAAGATTTCAGAAAGATTATAAAATAAAATTCACGCAAAAATTTCAAATTATTCTTATATACCAAAAAATTATTTCTTAAAAAATTGTTTTTATAAAGTTACGATATTTCATAAATCTTTTAAAGCAAAACAAATTTTCTACTTTATAAATTTTAGCAATAATTTTTTTTAATTTGCAGAATTTTATTTAAAAAGTTTAATCAAGTTATGTTTTAAAACGACACAATATCTGCAAAAATTTTTCGAATTTAAAAAGGCTAAAAATAAATAAATTTTAAAATAATTTATATAAATTTATTTTCAAATATTTTTAAATGTCAGAATATTATTATAAATTTTTTAAAAAGGCAATATTTTGCGTAAAGTTATTTAAATATATTTTTCGTCAAGTTTTGCAAAGTTCCTTTTTATATGATGTGTCCATCAAGTAAAATAACAATAAAATGTATACATAAAGAAACTTACCTCTGAGCATATTTTTTTTTCCAGAGAGTTTTATAATGGGACATCCACTCAAATCTCTTGCACGTGGAACTAAAATTCTCAACGTCCCTCAAGCTAATAGTTTCGTTTTCCAGAATACTTAATATAATTTCGTTAGATAAATCCTCTATCGTGATCATTATATAATAATATAAAAATAACTTGCAGCTTTTATCTTAACGAATCGAATGATATTCTATGCACTAACTCCGCTTTGTAGAGAGCACGTGGCTTACTGCGTCGTGAACTGCCATAGACTGAAAATGATCAAAATGCTTCGAGAGACGGGTTGGGGGGAACAAAGAAAAAAATCCTAGCAAATACAAAGTAACTACTGTAAACTATTCGTAATAGTTTCACTTTCGGGAATCCGATTCAGCGATTTTCGGATCTATATTTTTCTCTTGCATTCATTTATTTATTTTCCGTAGGGGGGTTAAAGGGGGTATTGAAATTAAATCTCAAATATGAGATTATTTCATATTTAAAATCTTGGCCGTGTCCAAGTAAAATTTGGTGCCTTGTGCACCGGTATTTAATTCTAACGGAAAATTATTTAGTTTCGTTAGGATAACGCATTGTCATCCGCGATTTGGCTCTTGTTGCCCGTCTTATACGTTAAATTTTTATTTATACTTAGCTTTTTTAAATTCGCAAAATTTTTGCAGATATTGTGTCGTTTTAAAACATGACTTGATTAGACTTTCTAAATAAAATTGTGCAAATTAACAAAATTGCAGCTAAAAGTTACAAAGAAGAAAGTTTGTTTAACATTAAAAGATTTATGAAAGATTTAACTTTTATAAAAACAATTTTTGAAGAAATCATTTTTTGATATATAAGAATAATTTTAGAATATATTTTTGTTATAATAAGAATAATTTTTTGTTTTATTATCAATATCTACTCGTGCAATTGTAAAAATAATAATATAACTGTTAATAAGGTAATTTTTCGTATAACAATATAATTCAGAAACAAATTTGGAACCAGAAAAATAATTATTTTATACAAAAAAGTATACATTTTAATTATAACTTCATCAGTAGAGAAATTTTAAAATTGCACCTAGGATTTCACACATGCGAAAGAGTTTCCCTGTTAGCGCTTCAAGTTATTCTTCTGTACTTATCGAAATGAAGTGTTCTCATTCCTTCGATTTGTCACGTGTGTACGATAAAAATAACTTACGATTAATAAAGAATACATTTCTTGAATTCTTTAAATATCGTAAGTTATTTTTAGCGTGACGAATCGTACAATAATCAATGAATAAACACACGTATTTTAAAAATTTTAACTATCAATTATGGTTTGAGAGAGAAAGAAAATGCGCCGCGCGGGCTTACTTATATTTATACCCATATTCGAAGAATTGCGAGAAAGTTTCGTGTGTATGAAATAAGCCCCCATTTTTGTAATTTTTAATGTTTTTATAGTTGTTCCAGATTGTTCTATGTTTGTTCTACATTGTTCCAGAGTTATAAATATAAAATTCAAAAAAACAAGACAACAAAAGCAAAAGAACAGTTTTTTATAGCGGTTCCGATTTTTTGAAAAATCCAATTTTTGTTGTAGTTCTGTAATATGTTCTAGTTGTTCTAAACATTGTTTTAAAGTACGAATTCTTCAAAAGATGTATTTACAATAATATAGCAAAAAAGGTTTTTTTTATAGTGGCTCCCCATTTTTTGGTATTCCATTAGTAACTGTTAGATTAGTTACGCTAACACGATACTTTCAACTAAAAATAAAGAAACACTCAATTAGGAATGAAAAATCAGTATGCTAGAGCAGATTTGAGAATGTAAGAATTAATTATTAAGAGGGCGAATTTCAAATGTAATTACTTAATTACTACTAAATAAATATTACAGCTCAATAATCGACTTTATAATATTTTTAGAGAGAACTCACTGACACTTTAATACAATATTAACAACATTTATGTAAATTACCGGTATGCTAACATTTGTAATGTATTTATAAATATAAAATATATATATATAATATAATCATATATAAATATAATATAATAATTGATATATATTACACAGATATATATATATATATATATATATATTTGTGTACATATTTTATCGCGCTATGATGCAGTAATAAAATAAAAAACAAATTTTCTTATTATTTAACATTTTATTACAACATCGCCATTAAACATAAAATATCAGTTTGTCGGAATAAAACAATGTACAAAACAAATCAATAATATAAAGTATGCGTAAATACGTATGTATTTTAAAATAGTATTTTGCGCAAACATCTTGCGTTTTTTACATTTTAAAATTCACGGAATCTAAGAATCATTAATAATCATCAGTTTCTTCTATTTGATTTGAATATATAATATGGGATGATGAGTTTAATTTTCTTAGTATAATTTTTGAAAATTTAAAAAAGTATTTTGTGTTTTCATTTTTAGATGGCCTACTGCACAGCTATTTTGTAAAGATAAAATGAACATTGAATTTAATGACTTAAATATTAAAGAGTTAAAAAAGGGTATGAAATGCGCGAAAAACTTTTGGCTTGATGTGTCTCGTATGTCTCAGATGTATTATTTTCGTAGACTATCCGGAAAAGATATTAAAGAATCTTTCTATATGCATGCAGAAAAGCACCCTCTAAATTTGTTGATTTTATATAATGAACTTACTAGAAACATATATCAACAAGATTCACGGTATGTGTGTAACTACATGTATTTTAAAATATAAAAAATCATTGTTATGTTTAATTAATTATTCTGTAATAATTTTACAATATGTACATTTTTCAGCCAATGCAATTTAACAAAAAGATATTACTGCATAAACATATTTCGATATCTCAACCTGTATCGTGATATTTATTCTTTACATTGGAAAAGAATTGTAGAAAAACCTAATCATATGCAGCGTTTGGAGGATATTATTGTACTAATATTACAATATTGTCATCCCAATAAGGGTATTACTATGTTGTATATAGATAAATTCATAGACAATATTGTGCAAGAAGTATTAAAGTTGTTTAAAGATAAATATCTCCAGCATCCAATATTGTCTATATCACCTGAACAATTATCCATTTGGAGAAATAATCGTATTAATGAAAATTTCTGGTGCGAAAATAACGCAATGTCGATTAAAAATGTACTGGACAAAATTATCATAAGTTTTGACTCTTATAAATCATGGATGGAACCTAATCAAATAAATACGAATCCCTTTTATATATCGCTGGTATGTTAAGTTTTTTATGTATGTTTTTTATTATTTATCATGAATTATAATTTTTTAATTTATCATAAATATAATATTAATTCTCTATTATAATTATTTTCATTATACTTTTACACTTATTATTCTTCGACAGACTAAAAAAGACACATTATATTATAAACAAACGTTGTGGTTGGCAATATATATCTGCGTTGGAAATAGATTAGGTTTACATGTTCTAACAACAGAACACGATATAGACGATAAATATACTCTTAATACACATTTGGTCTGGCAATCCAGGTAAATATATAACTGTAAACAATGTATATATATATATATATATATATATATATATAAATATATATATTATTTATTAAATATGTCACAAACAACCACAACGTACAGATATTTACAGCATAGGAAACAACTAATAAATAAACGTTTATTATTACAGACTTTAAACAACCAATATATATATAAATATATATATATATATATATATATATATATATATATATATATATATATAACAGTAAGTGTTTGTAACACACCTTAGCGTCATTTTGAACAACATAATTTTCGACCATTTATTTATTTCTGATTGTAATCTAATTTTCATATGATAGCGGCTGAAGGGACAACAGTGAATGTTGAAACGTTCCGTATTTAAAGAGTGTAATTTTCTTAAATAATTAAAATTATTTATATTTAACAGCTATTACACACTCATCAAAAAGCTTACATATAATTCGCTGTATTATTTTTTATTTATAATATACGAGTTTAAATTTAATAATATTAACGATGTTTTCTAAATATCATTATATTATGATTGTTTGTGATACAATTAAAAATATGTTTCTCCATGATTCCCCTCTCAAATATTTTATTTGTTGCATTATAATATAAGTCGATGTTTAAAAAATATTATGAAAAAATCTACAGTACAGAAAATACAGAATGTTTCACGTTTGAATGGACAGATAATACAGATAATGCAAAGATTTCTAACATAAGAAAATGCCAACGAGTGTCGTCTCAAGTTAGAGACAGAAATGCACGTATGGTAAGTAGTTATTTATATAAAATATTGGTAGTGTTAGACTTTCATTTTATAGTGGTTATAACTGGATGGACGTTTAATGCAGCGACGTTCGATATAAAAGACATAATCAACGATGTTTTCTTTGTAAATTAATTATTAATTCATAATTCTAATAAATTAAAAAAGCATATAATACATAACATTAGTTTTAGATTATAAAGTTTCGAAAATATATTTAAATGTATTTTTTCTTACACACATTTATAATTCGAATTTAATCATTATATATGATATCATAAGTGATTTTGATTCAAAAGACAATTTTTTTAAGCTTATGTCGTCAAGATCGATTGCACCCATTGAGGATATAAGTTATTTGTGGATACATGGCCGCTTTTCCTATTACTTCTCCAGTTATAAATTAGCTTTAGAAATTTATCATGATGAGGTAAGACAATTGAATTTACTCATTGCACATATTATAAATTAAAGATATGTAACAAAGTAACATATATAATAATTATACGTGTAAAAATCTAATTATAATTATTTTTAATTCAAATTATTACATTAATATAAATTACATAATATATATAAAAGCGTCAACTATACTAATTTTTCAGACAATATGTACACCAGATAAAACGTTTCGGAAAAAAAGATCGCCTAATCTAAAATATGCGATTGGATTGATAGTTACACACAAGCATAAAATGGAAGATAATACACGAAAAGATGTTGCTGGGGTCATTATTGGGTGGCACAACGAATGCCACATTGAACGCTTTAAGTATGATAGTACATATTGTAGTATTTCGAATGATGTTACAGAAAAATGTATACCGAAAAATAACATCGATAATTGGAAATCACAACCGCACTACGTTTTGTTAATCGAAAATGATCTGTGTTACGTTCCACAATGTATGTGTATTATATGTAATACTTCATTATACGTTATATACTGTATATTCTGTGATATTTTTGTTTATATTGTTTATGTTACATGGCATAATACATTTGATAGTATATTTTTTATTTTTACGTTTTTATTTTAGGTGCTATAACATCGGTATGCAAAGAATGGATAAATAATTCAGAAACTGGAAAATATTTCTGTAAATTTGAAGATAATCATTATGTGCCAAATAACATGCTAGGACAGCATTATCCAGACGATGCTGCAGTCGTTCGCAGAATATTTTTCAGTAGAAAGAGAAAATTATAAAATTAATACAATAAAAAAAGGCTTTTACACGAGCAAATATGGGTGACAAAATAAAATTACTGTATTTAAATATAAAATTTATAAAAAATTTGTGCAAGACGTTTCGTCACTTACTTGTGACTTCTCAATCGCAAAATTAATTACAATTACATATAATAACGGTCTATAAATTTCATCTTAAAGCTATAATTGTCTTGTTAGCATTATAAAATATACTAATATGTCCATGTTCTTTGTATTAATTTAAATGCTCAGAAATAATTAATGTTCGATCTATGTTAACAATAGCGTACAATTAAACTTTTATACGGAATTTATTAGATATAATTAATATTAGTTAAATTGCAAACACTTACATATTTTTATTATTTGCCTCGATTTCCATTATAATGTGTTATTCTTTATCGACTTCTAGGCTGATTGTATATGCAGTATGTCTCTCATGAGTTTTATATATATTATTTAGAAAAAGGTGAAATTTATTTATATTTTGTTTATTTTGTCTAAAATCGGGAAATATGTCTTGTCCAATAAAGCAATATCATCTATAAGATTCAAACTGTTTTTTTGTTGTTTAATGTGTATTGTGTTTGATTTTAACTTTTTGTAGTAATTACTTTCACAATCTAAAATTCTAACGTCATTCCAATCCATATTATGATTCATGTCAATAATATGTCTAGAAACGACGCTCAACGTCTATACGTATATACGAGCTTATATATCACATTGTTTATAAAATTATAAAATTTTGAGTAGTGCAAAAGTGTGTAAAAAAAGACTTAGCAATAGAAGCTAAATTTCAATAGCAGAATCAAACTTAGCTACAAGAGCTATCGTCTTATGATCATGACTAAGTCCTGGCTATTATAGTTAAAAAATATTTATTGTGATATGAAAACTTATTAGTTGAAATTAAAAGTGCATGTTAACAAAAATAGCTATATACATACATTACGGTGTATGCTTAATAGCTAAAACATTTAGCATGCTAAGGCTAAGTTTTTTTTATACGCGCGAACCTTTGATTGGCTATCAGTCATTACTCGGATACGGATAGTGAAAATGGTTGTGATTGTGATTCTAATAAAATTATATTTATAGCAATATGATATTTTTATTTTAGTTAATAAACATAAATTTCTACACTATGTACAGGATGATTCACTTTAATTGTTCCAGGCAAATATTTTAAAAGGTATGGAAGATATGAATAAATGTTTCAGACAAAAATTTAATGGCTTCGAAGAGACATGGTATGTTCCTTTCGAAGCCATAAAATTATTGTCTGAAACATTTTTTAATATCTTCCATATTTTTTAAAATATTTGCTTGGTGTAATTATGATTCTGGAGTTAGTATAATATGTCTTCTGCAGCAAAATTGATAGTTAAAACAGCAATAATTGCTTAGCATTGATAGCAAAGATTATACAATTATAACTAAAAATTATAACAGTCACAATGGAGATTGGTTAGTTCTAACTTTTTTGTTATTTTACTTGATTAAGTCATCACATAAACAGGAACTGTTCAAAAAATCTGACGAAAAATATTTTCGCGATTTTCGTAATACTATGTTTTATTTTATTGTGTTTGATTATATATATATATATATATATATATATATATAATATATTTTATTAATAGTCTGATAATTTTCTCGTAATAATAAATAAATTGCAGTTTTGCATTTTTGAGTTCTCTACTTTAAAAAGCTCTTTACTATTATTATTATTTAGGAGTTTTCACAATTATTTTTGTGCAACTGGCGCGCGAAACGTCGCTGTTTCCGCACATGATGGAATTTTAGAAAAGGCTTTCTTTCCACGTACCGGTCACACAAAATATCGTAGCCAACATGTGCGAGTCATAAATTGGCCGATCGTGCGGATTGTCACACTCGGCTTCGTTTTGTGCGCCAAACTTCCACAATCTCGGCCGATTTACGATCCCTCGCACTTGTTAGCTAATGTACTATTGTGCAACCAATGCGCGGAAAGTCGCCCTTTCCGCACATAATGGGATTTTAAAAAGGGCTCCCTTTCCACGCACCGGTCACACAAAATATTGTGACCAACATGTGCGAGTCGCAAATCCGTTTTCCCACACTTGTTAGCCAATATACTATTCTTGGACATTACCCTGGGATTTTGGCTTACCTTTTTGTTAATGGGAAAAACAATTTATTTTCTTTTGTACAATTTTCAGGTCTTGTTTTATTGTTTGCATTACACTATAGACTATGAATTATGTACAACATAAAATAATAGCAATTTTTGCCTGCTGCGTATGCTGAGTTATTCCTATTACAACTTTCTTAATTTTTTTTCTCAATATTATTTTAAAATTGTTTCTATATTCTGCAAAAAATCTAATTATCATATTTTTATCAAAACCGACGCTTTTTATTTCTAAGAAAGAGCTAAACGGCTTATGTTGTATATAATTTATTATTTATATATAAATGAGTGTTGAGATGCATATTTATTATAAGATTTTATTATTACATCACAGTTTTTTCACACTGTACTCTTCAATTTACTTTAACTCTTGCTTTAAAATTAAACAATTATGACAACAGAATTCTAATTCTCAATTGTTTATTTTTTGAATTCTACTTTATCAAATAACTTGTAATTGAAAAAGAATGCAGTAAAATAGCCATCACCAAATATTAAAGTATTCTTTGACTGATGAAAGCATTAGAAATATCTTGTCAACTCTTTATTGAAAAAACTCTAATAATATTAAATAAATTTACTCCTTACATAAATTATCGTAATTCTTATAAAAAGAAAAATTAATTGTGACATGAAAAGTCATCAAAACTTATTAAAAAAATCATTGAGTCATCTTACAATTAGTGTCACTCTATCATTTGCATCGAAGATATCTATCACATATATTACGATATTAATCGATCGAATGAGAAATATATAAATATGTGTGTGTGTTTGTGTGCATGATTATATAAAATTTTAATATTACTAATACACATTTTTTCGTTAGCTTAAATAATTTAACGTATTATCAATTTTTGATTCGAACTTTTTGCCAGATAATAAATCTCTCTACATGAACTTTTTATGCGCGCTATTTTAGAAGGATTTTCTCTCTCTTGCGAGATATTTACGAGGATTTGTTATTGTTTTCCGAAAAATCTATATACAATGTATCTTATAAATTTCAATCCGAACCAAAAAAGAGCAGACACACAAACTTCTGCACCATTCACAATATTATAATTTGCAATTATTCAATAATATGTCGCGCACGACTGCGGCATCGTCTGGATAATCCTGTTCTAGCATGTTATTTGGCACATAATGTGTATCTTCAAATTTAGAGAAATATTTTCCAGTTTCTGAATTATTTATCCATTCTTTGCATACCGATGTTATAGCACCTAAAATAAAAAAGTAAAAATAAAAAAGAAAGTAACAAATGTATTATGCCATGTAACATATAAACAATATAAACAAAAATATCACAGAATATACAAATATAAAGTATAATGAAATATTACAAATAATACACATACATTGTGGAACGTAACACACATTATTCTCGATTAACAAAACGTAATGCGGTTGCGATTTCCAATTATCGATGTTATTTTTCTGTATACATTTTTCTCTAACATCATTCGAAAAAATTTCATATGTACTCTCATACTTAAAGCATTCAATGTGGCATTCGTTGTGCCACCCAATAATGACCCCAGCAACATCTTTTTGTGTATTATCTTCTATTTTATGCTTATGTGTAACTATCAATCCAATCGCATATTTTAAATTAAGCGATCTTTTTCCGAAACGTTTCATCTGAAGTACATATTTCCTGAAAAATTAGTATATTTGACGCTTTTATATATATATTATGTAATTTATATTAATGTAATAATTTGAATTAAAAATAATTATAATTAGATTTTTACACGTATAATTATTATATATGTTACTTTGTTACACATCTTTAATTTATAATATGTGCAATGAGTAAATTCAATTGCCTTACCTTATCATAATAAACTTCTGGTGCTAATTTATAACTGTCATAGTAATAGGAAAAGCGGCCACATATCCACAAATATCTTATATCCTCAATGGGTGCAATCGATCTTGACGACACAAACTTAAAAAATTGTTTTTTGAATCAAAATTACTTATGATATCATATATATAATGATTAAATTTAAATTATAAATGTGTGTAAAAAATATATATTTAGATATATTTTCGAAATTTTATAATCTAAAACTAATGTTATGTATTATATGCTTTTTAATTTATTAGAATTAAGGTTATTGATTTCAATGTTTTTAAAATATTTGACAGAAATAACATCGCTGAATATGTCTTTTATATTAAACGTCGCTGCATTAAACGTCCGTCCAGTTATAACCACCATAAAATGAAAGTCTAAAACTACCAATATTTTATATAAATAACTACTTACTAAACGTGCATTTCTGTCTCTAGTTCGAGGCGACACTCGTTGGCATTTTTATTTTAGAAATCTTTGCATTATCTGGATTATCTGTCCATTCAAACGTGAAACATTCTGTATTTTCTATATAATTTCTGTATAAACAATGGAGAAATAACATGTTCATGTACATCAGTGTAATGTAGATGTTTAAAAATAATATTCATTCAATGATAAATTTTTTAGTCTTTTTTGAACTAATTCTTTCTTATAGCAAAAAAAAATTATTATTATTATTTTACATGTTTAATGTATTATAGTACAATATATAAGATTATATGTATATCATTTGTTGACAATACATTTATCGAAAGTGTCCTCCTACTTTAGAAATTAATTTTTTTTCAATTTAATGTTTCCTTTAATACTTCTAAAATTAGATCATTCTTTTTCAAAGTAATTTCTTTTTCATCTATGGTTATGTCCAAAAATTTCTCTTTTTCAAGTAAAATCCTGTTTATAATAATTGTTGAAAGTACAAAATAATCTTATTTCCAATTGCATAAGTTAAATTTATGAAATTTTTAAAACTTATAAAAAAT